TTATGCTAACTACTAAGTTTTTGGTCTCATCTAACTTAACCCTCGGTTTTTCTTACTGCGAGAGTGGAACACAGAACCTTAACATCACAAACCACTAGTAGGGTAATCTCAGTTTCCTTCTTAAACCCTCTCCATCTCAATTTACCCACTTTAAAAATACACAGTGACTAAATAGGGTGATGAATGTAGCATAGTGACTGGCAAGTGGTAGCTGCTCATTAAATGCTGGTAAATGTTGGTGGGGTTTTTTTTTTTTCCAGTTTTAACTGCAAATTAATGAGCCTCTGTGATGATCTGTATAGCTCATCAGCCCACCTTCAAGAAGGAAACAATCACACATACTTCCATGGTGATTCCTGGCCCCTGGTTTACTTCTGAACCCTGAATTTCCTTCTTCCCCAAAAATAGCAGTAACTACAATAGTACTTGCAGTTGCTTTGTTTACTAATTTCTCTGCTGCTTCCAGAGATTACTAGAAATTTACAATGCTTGAGAACTTTGCAGGCTATATTTTATTTTATTTTTTTCTTGAAGGTTAGCCCTGAGCTAACATCCAGCACCAATCCTCCTCTTTTTGCTGAGGAAGACTGGCCCTGAGCTAACATCCTTCCCCATCTTCCTCTACTTTATATGTGGGATGCCTATGACAGCATGGCTTGATAAGCGGTTCTTAGGTCCACACCTGGGATCCGACCCAGCAAACCCCAGGCTGCAGAAGTGAAATATGTGAACTTAACCCCTGCACCACCAGGCCGGCCTTGCAGACTATATTTTAGAGAATCTATAAACACATTTTGGAAATAAGTCAAAGAACAATTTTGAAACAGACATACAAAACAATAATTTCTTCACATTATCTAATCTTAAAAGAGAGCAAATGATTCTGAGAGATACTTATTCCACTACTGTTGAGGCAAAGAGTCATACTTGGAAGGTTAGAGATGAAAAATAAAAGAAAACAAGAGCGAGAACAAGGAAGCCAGCACCTGAAAAGCCTCCCTTCTCTCTCACCAAAGTCGGCACAGGCGTCCTGCAGCCCACGTTTTGAGATAGGTTGTTGCAAAAATAATGAATAGGGCTTCCTTTCCAAATTTTTGACAATAGGCGTGTTAGGACATGTGAAAGGCAGGTTTGGCAGAATTGAAATCAAAGCCTGTTTAACTTGCTTGGAATGGTGGTTAAGGAAAACTTAGTTCTTCACAGATGCAGCTTAGTCATCCACACGTTTGTCTGTGCATCCTATAGCAAAGGCCAACACCATGGGGTAGGGAGAGCAGCAAAGAACTCCTGTGGGTGGCTGTTTGCCGTTAACTGGTCTCAGGTTCATCCTGCACCACGCATTGGAATAAAGTAAAATAAAAATTTTACCGTATCACCTAGACTCCTTAAGAACACGTGCCACATATTTTTATACTTTTGGAGCAGCATTTTAATTTCTTCATCATTATTCTTAAATGAATATCTTTAATTTTATATGACGTTTAACGTATGTCTTTTTTTAAATGATCGGTTTTCTTATTTGACCTTCGTAAGATTCTTGACTTGGATTCCTACCCCTTCACTTTGCCTTGTCTTATCTTTTTTCTTTTAAGGGACACAGTGCTAGATCTGTGTGTAGAAAACTTACTTTTCCTCCTGTGTGTTTCTCCTTTACTTTCACACTACTACCCTACTTATAACATCTCTGACATCAGATGTGTGAGGGTTTCTCCCACACTAAGCAATGCTTTGTGACAGCAGCTGGGTAACCTACAGTTCAATTCAATTCTGTCACTAACTGGAGTTAGTGCAGATGCGACAGGTGAAGGTCACTGTCCCAGGAGACTGCCGATGGCAAGTAGTATGGCCCCAGATTACCTATGACTTCTGTCTGACCCGGCTACAAATTGGCGGTTCCCATGACCTCCCCCCCTTGGATTGGATTGTTTGCTAGACTTGCTCACAGAATTCAGGGAAGCACTCACTGATGTTTACCAGTTTATGATATGATAAAGGATGCAGGTAAACAGGCAGATGAAGAGATACATAGGGCAAGGTCTGGTTCAGTCTTGAGCACAGAAGTTGCTGTCCCTGTGGAGTTGGGACGTGTCACCTTCCTAGTACGTGGATGTGTTCAGCAACCTGGAAGTCCTCCAAACCCCCTACTTTGGGATTTTTATGGAGGCTTGCTTCATCACATAGGCATGATAGATGGTTAACTAGCTTTCTAGCCCCTCTCCACTTCGCAGAGGATAGGGGGCGGGGCTGAAAGTTCCAAGCTTCTAATCATTGTTTGGTCTTTCTGGTGACCAGCCCTCTTCCAGAAGTTCACAAGGCACCTGCCTCAGAACAAAAGACACTTGTATCACACAGGAAATTCCAAAAGATTAAGGAGCTCTGTGGAAGGAGCCAGGGACAGAGGTCTCTCTCTATATATGTATACTTATTATTTTACAATAAGAGATTCAAACAAATCACAGACTACATCTCTTTGGCATCTCAAACAGTGCCATTCCATCTCTTATCTCAGGTATGGGACATAAGTAAATGTCCTTGTTCTACCATCTTGTATTGCCCAAGTTTTCTCACCTCCATCTGCCAGTTTTTGTTAGGAAAGGACAAATGGGAGCACTGAATGGGAAGGATAACTCCTTAGGTTAAAACACACACAGACGTTCAAGCACACATATCTGCAGCGGGGGTAATGTGTGTATCATCCTTCTAACTCGGAACATATTAATGTTAAATAAATGTCACATTAAAATTTTATTTATTCTTTTGGTTGGCAGATTCCAGTCCCATATGCTTTTTTCTTTCTTTCACTATTTCATATTAGGGTGAGCTGTTCTAGTGTGCAAAACTGACATCTCATCCTTTATATATTCAAAAATAAAAATCACATTTTTGATGTCAGAATGACATTTTCATGTCAGAATTTTGATGTTAATACTTTAACAAAGTATTAACTTGTCATGCACTTAGTTTCTTTTCAAATTCTTGATTAAATTTATTCTTAAAATACTAAACAAACCCTCAAAGTGTGTGGATTAAATAGATTTCTGCTTTTGCAGAGAAATGTGGGGTGGAGGTGGGGCTGAGTCCATGTTGGTTTAAGTGAATTTTTAAATCAAATCTAGGAGCTTGGAGAAGTCTAGGGGTGGCTATAATACAAGACTGGATAATCTCCTTTGGCAAATTCCAAATCTCTTTCAATATTTATTATATTTATTGTGTATATGTATTTTTAATTTAATTTTTAAAATTTACTTATGAACATTTTCAAACATACAAGTAAAGGGTACTGCATAATTGGTTTATATATTTTATGCCAAACAGAAGCCTTTTTATTGCTTTATTTAATTTCTTTTTAGTAAAATACAATTTAATTTGTTTAAAGGGAACAGAATTTTGAAACACTTGAGTGGCTTTAGAGAGCAAATAATTAGCTTAAAAAATTACATCTGATAATGGAGCATTAGTAAGTCCGTAACATGGGGCATTAATTTTTCTTTACAGTGAAAGTGAAATCACTGGGGACATATTTCAAGTTGGTGTACTATCTTTCACAGGGGAAATTCAGGTCTATTTATGTATTTGGAATCTGCATAATTAAAGAGTTTGGCAGAAATTTAAAAATTTTCAAATTGTAAACTTCTGAGGATGTTTTAAAATATTTAAAAATATAAAATGGAAGTAGTAACATAATATTATAATGTTTAATCACTAAATCTAATAATCTTTTAATCACTAATAGCCATTAATTACTCAGATTCCTCAAATTAAAATAATAAAATACAGAACCCATAAAATATTTACAACGTGGTAGAATATACAATTCATATTACAAAACGTGCTAATTTGATTCTCTGTTATATAATGGGTGAATAATACACACCTCAAAGTATACGCATCACAGATTAAAATTATAAACCAGCTTGGTTGTTTTCCTAGGGACACTGGTTTGGCAAACTGGGAAATGGAAAATTTCAGAAATGGTGTAACATAGGTTCAAGGGGAATGAAGACAATTTGTATACAAAGGAAGTCACTAAAAGTCAGTCATCCCTATAAAGAACAATATCTAATAATAATAGAAAATTATGTTCATTTGTGTGAAGCAGTTTGAGAAAGGTTTTTTTTTTAAATGCTTTCCACATTCTTTTTCTTGTGAACTAAAGAAAGTGATAGGGAAACGAAGATTTCATTGTTGGATAAAAATTAACAATGGAAAACAGTTTTAATTCTGATTACAGCAGTAGACCAAGTTTAGGAACGTGCTTTGAGAAAATCATGTCAAGGTTTTTCTTCTCAGCTCCGCTTCCTGGCCCCCGTTTCATCAGAGGCATGTGAGAACACTTACTCCCACTGTCTTCTCTCTCACAGCTTCTCTCTCACTTTGCTTCTGAGAGTGGAGAGGGAGAAACCCTGTCTGTCTTGGCAGGTATGCTGAACAGGGCCAAGTGTCTCCCTGTGGCTTCAGAAAAGGACATGTTATTAAAGAGGGAAACCTGTGCCTACCAGATATTTAAGACAAAATTGTTCCCTTGGCTTGGACTCCAGATGTTTAAGAGCATGTCTCACTGCTCCAACCCCCATACCAATATCTGGTTTCCTAATTCTATACGTATATGATATGGACCAGCCCTGGAGAAGCAATCTTTATGGTGATTAACACTTTAAACTAGAGCTTTCTTTCTCACCTCTTTTTTTTTTAGATAATTAGTTTGAAAAATTATCCCAATATATGTTTATATATATATATATATATATATATATATATATATATATATGTGAATGTTTTGGCCAAATCAAATAGGATCCTGTATCCTTGAGGACATGAAAATATCTACTATAGTCTAAGTAGTAAAACCCAGACCACAAACATCCATTATTAATATTTTAACACACTAGCACATTAATATTATCTTTGATATGTATGTTTCTTGTGTATCAGCATATATATAAACTCACAAATATTTATATTTCTATTTTTGTCTCAGCCATTGCATTTCTCTTTTTCAGATGATGTTTAGAGGATTCTGCAGCAACCTTTGGTATTGGACATATTCAAAATCTCTTCCACCTCTGCTCTTCTGGTACATTGCCTTCCAGCTTTAACTTGCTTGTGACCCCTTCAAACATTTTACATGGTTTGCAATGGTTACATGAACTTTTGGGAAGTGGTATTTGCACCATCTCATACTTTATTCACCATGGCACTTTAGGAAAAGAAATTGGGAAAAGCTTCCAAAGCAGTATTTTAAAAAAATGAATCTTATTGTGAAGCTTCGAAGAAGTTTTCGAACATTGATTGTTCTCTTGGCTACCTTTTGCTTGGTGAGCATTGTCATTTCTGCCTATTTCCTCTACTCTGGCTATAAACAGGAAATGACGCTTATTGAAACCACTGCAGAAGCAGAATGTGCTGACATCAAAATTCTACCGTATCGGTCAATGGAGCTGAAAACAGTTAAACCTATTGATACATCCAAAACGGACCCTACTGTCCTGCTATTTGTGGAGAGCCAATACTCTCAACTCGGTCAAGACATCATAGCTATCTTGGAGTCCAGCCGATATCAGTACCACATGGTCATTGCCCCCGGCAAAGGAGACATACCTCCTCTTACAGATAATGGCAAAGGGAAATATATTTTAGTTATTTATGAAAATATTCTGAAGTATGTCAGCATGGACTCATGGAATCGAGAGCTTTTAGAAAAATACTGTGTGGAATACAGTGTTAGTATAATCGGTTTTCATAAAGCCAATGAAAACAGCTTACCAAGTACACAATTAAAAGGCTTTCCATTAAACCTTTTCAATAATCTAGCTCTAAAGGACTGCTTTGTGAACCCTCAGTCTCCTTTGCTGCATGTTACCAAAGCCCCCAGGGTTGAGCAAGGCCCTCTTCCTGGGGAAGACTGGACTATTTTCCAGTATAATCACTCAACCTACCAGCCTGTGCTTTTAACTGAATTACAGACAGAAAAGTCCCTTTCGTCCTTGTCCAGCAAGCCTCTCCATGCGACAGTGATTCAGGATCTGGGGCTTCATGATGGAATTCAGCGAGTTCTTTTTGGCAACAACTTAAACTTTTGGCTACACAAGCTCATCTTCATAGATGCCATCTCCTTCTTGTCAGGGAAGAGGCTGACGTTGTCCTTGGACAGGTATATTCTTGTGGACATTGATGATATCTTTGTTGGGAAGGAAGGAACAAGGATGAATGTCAAAGATGTGAAGGTAAGAAGATTTATAAATATATCATAATTTTATTTCACTGACTTTGTGGTAATGATGAAGTATAATTTTCAATATTTCAGATTTCTAATTACTGAAAATTTTAAGATACAGTAGGTTTGACATAAAATAGGCATTAAAAAAATACCATTCCTCATACACACACTAGATGCTTCAGAGGGGAATAGAACAAAAATATCCCAGGGAGTACTTGAACTTAATCTCTTCCCTCTTCTCAGGCCTGGCCCATCCCAGGTGAAGCCCTGTAGAACTGCCTCCCTTATTCTAGCACATGTGGCAGTTTATAGCAGTGAGACTAATATGGGCTTAGAACTCCTCCCTGAACGGATCCCTCTGCCCTACTTGAGTTTCACAGTGGTAGTTGCAATACAAGACGGAGAAGCAGCCCAAGACCTTTCTATACCCTCAAATAAGCATAATATTTGATGATGTGAGAAGTTCATACACTTTCAAATATAAATATGAACAAAAAAACAGTCCTATAGGGAATGTGGTGTTGGACTTGACCTCAGAGGCTTCCATTGCTCTCTCTCTTTTTAATTTATCCTATTGTTTGGCGGTAATACAGAAGTGTCACTAGTAGCACTTCTGAGTCATAATCAAATTGACTGTATAACAAATTCACCCTGTCATTGCTATTAGATAAAGCAAAAGTGGAATATGTTACACTAGGTTAGGTAGGTAATTCTGAGAATAATTCCCTCTTTTTTCATCTTGATTCAACATTCTCACTTGTGCCTCTCTTGTCCTATATACAACTAAATTCATCCTGTGGACAAATAATTTTGGCAAATATGCAAACAAAAATAATAGGACATAACTGATAATTATAAAGGAACTAAAGATTTTAAGATCATGTCATCTGTTTTGAACTTCTGCTGTTAGTCTTTTTATCCTCCGAAGATGAAACCTCAATACTACTTCAAAATAACGGCTTTTCCCCCATCCTAAGACCTTGTGACTACTATAATGAAACATGATTAAAAGCAGTGAAATAAGTTCACTTTTAAAAATTTTCAAAGTACATGTGAATCAGTGAACTCTGTTTTTAATGAGCCACTGAATGAAGCATCACTTGATTAGGATCCAAATATTTCATTTTGGGCATAGATTTTCCTGGTTTTTTTTTTTTTCTTACTTTTTTGTATTTACTATCCCTCTTTAATTAATATAAACTCTAGTTTTATTTTAACTTCAAAATCATAAGCTTAGGAAAAGGTCATGTGCTTCAAAATGTTCTCTAAGTGATTCCTATCCTTAAATCCTGAAACAAGAGGGTTTCCTAATTTCAGTCTAACAAACTGTATGATCTGAAAAAGTTCTTTTTGGCCCTAACACAGTTTTCCAGCTTGAACTCAGCTATTTCACTTACTCTCCATAGAAAAACAGTTAGCTGTTCACCACTACTTCTACAATAGTCAAAGGTCACTGATGACTTCTCAGAGTGACATAACCCCGAACAGAGTGATAGAATACTGAAATTTAACCAAGGAAGAAGCAATGTCACAGGCAGAGAAAGAATCAGAAAGGTTGTATGTATATATAGATATACGTAGTGTGTGTATATATGTCCGTATGTATATTAATATATACTCTACACACACACACACACACACACACACACACACACACACACAGTCTAACTTAACTGTCACTTTGAAGAAAATACTCTTTACTGCTCTTTTTGGTGTTATTTCTGGTTATCCTACAGAACCATTAATCAAAGAATATCAGAAACTTGATTGGAACTTGAGGCTGGTAACCTCTGGGATTACTTATGGGTCAATAGGAAATACTGTTTTCAAGTACAAAAATTACAGTCCCAGTTTTTGACATTTGATTTCTGTTTTGACTTTATTTATATTTTCAACACATAAGACTTTGTGGGAAGGAATTTTATATTATATGTAGAAAAGTCCTGGATACTCACATCTTCTTCATCCTCATGTTCCTTTTCTGGTAGTGTAAGAGTTCGTCATACACTGGTGGATGAGGAGAACTATATCCTCCCTCAAACTCTCCTCCAATTTTCTAGAGCAAGCATATTGCATAGCCACTCACTCTTTCTACATTATTTCGAAATGGAAAGTGTTTCTCAATAGAACAAATTGAGGAAAACTATAGCGTCATGGTTGAAAGTTCTTGGTTGTGTCTATGATTAGACTCTCTCTAGGCCACTCTCACAGTTAGGTGTGGAGCATACAGCTTGGAGCATTTAACAACCAATTCAAACATACCTTTGTCAGCAGCACCACCTTACTCTACGGACAAAAGATGAATTAGCATATTTTCATTTGAGCCCATTTTCCAACTTTGAGATAGAGAGTCTGGATCATACTGGGAAAGAGTTAACATTTTTCAGGCACAGCATTTGATGCAGTAGGAAGGATATGAGTTTTTTAACTGAATTTGAAAACCCATATCCTTTCCACTACATGCTTTCTGTCAGACCTAAGCTACCGTATACCTAGCTTCTTTTATAACCTTGCATGCTTTGTATTATTTCATCATGGCTTCCTTCAACTAAAGCCACTGAGATAGAAATTAATATGTCCATTTCCAAGGCAAGCAAAATTAAGCTCAAGCAGTTTCAATAACTGTCAGCCAATTGTTAACAAAATTTAATTGTGTATCTAAAACCTCAAGATATAAGAGAAAAACTACTCATGTATACAAAATTTTAGAAACATTGTATTTTGAAAGGCTGTGAAGTGTTAGCTATCAACGAAATCAGAAAAAATGATCATGCTTTGACCTGGTAACATTGTGTGGTCCTCAAGGCGATCAGAAAATACTTCCTCTACATCTAATGCTCTGTTAGCAAGATGAGCTCAGACTAGTTAGGGTGGTGTCTTATACACTTGAACTTATTCTTTCTTGGTTTGAAAGCAACTCTTGTTTTCATAATGGCCTTAATTACACGTATGTAATGTTCATTTCAAAAGTGATATCAGTCGGGAAATTATGTATTTTTAGGGAAAGATAAAATAATAAAGGGCCGTCTGACAATAATTTAATTTGAAAAGGCTTCTTGCAGCTCACTACTCAAGTTCTATGGACTATGCTTTACCCTTGGTTGGAAAACTTGGTGTAGTCATAGAAGTTGGGTAGAATTAAGATAATATATTCTTTTTTCATACTTTCCCTAAGACAGAATAAATACTCTTTCCCAATGAGGCTTTTGAAAAACATGGACATGGTGAATGTAAGCTTCCTCGTGGGTAATGAAATTGGATTTATTAATGATGATAACAATAATTTTGGTCCTTTAATCCTTCTGTGACTGGTTGTTATTCTCTCCATTGGCAACAAAACATTATTATTAGCATTTTTATGTCTTTATATTTCTTGAGGAAATGCATCCATTTATTCTTGAAAATCTACTATATATGACTATATTTAAGATATTATCTGCCTCATAACTCCAAACTTCTTATTTTAAGATCATATATGATCCAACTCAGTTTATCTTTTCAACCTCTATTCTGACTACTTCTCACTGCACATGTTTCTGTTGGGCTAGCCCCCCGGCTCTTCCTCATCTCTGGCTTGCTCATGGCTACCTTGACCTCCATTCTCAGCTTCTATGCCTTGATTAAAATACTTTTCCTGAATCTACCCACATTTCAAGAGCTATCTCAAGTCCTACTTCTTATGAGAAGATGACACATCCCCTAATGACCCCAGTAAACGGTGATTTCTGTTTAAACTGAGTCCCTGAGTAATCCCTGACCTTAACTCTCACTTAGCATCTTCATGTGCATGAGGCAACTCCAAAATTAGGTGATGAGACAGTTTTTCTCATACATTCAATTACGTCCCAAAGTACGTAATAAGCAGCCTTAGACGTAATTTGAAAACATTTAATTGACAATTATTATACTGCCTTTAAATGTTTGGTGAGTGCAGAACTAATTAGTCACAGAATTGATTTACTACGTTAAGAAAGAATAATTTAAAGTTTGGAGCATTGTCTCAAAACAAGTGGTTTGTGTATTTTGAGTATGGGGCAAAACTAGGAAAAAAAAAAGCAAAACTATGTTGTAAACCTGGAGTAGAAGATAAGTGGCTAGAAGGCTAATGAGTTTGATTTTTTTCCCCACATAGTGTTTTTAAAGGCTCTCTACCTATACTGGTATTAAGGCTTGATCCAGATAAAGCAATTTAGCAATAGCTTAACCTGGATGTTTTCATCCATTTATTTGACTACTACATATTTTCTGAGTTGAAAATCGTATGTTCAAAGATTTAAAGAGAAAAAATAATAAATTGTGTAAACTGAATGATTAAAACAAAGATGTTAAATTAATAGATATAAAGAAGCCAGTTAATAGAGGGTCTTGAAATACAGGTGAACTGAGCTTTGATTAGCTCCCATCGCTATTCGAAAGCCTTTTTAACCAAGGAAAGGTGATTGAAATATTTGAGAAAAGGTTTTAAGTTATTAATTTAAATATGTAAATACAATCCCAGTTCTAACTTGTGTGGAAATTACCACATTTAACAGGAGCCAAGTTGCTATGAATATGAAAGACGAAATTTATCAGAGAAGGAAAATTTTAAACCTTGGTTACTAATTTGAATAAGAATGGGAGGAGAAAAAGAGAAAAAATTTCATGATTTCTAAAATTGTGACCTAAGATAATAGGAAATTATTGGTGCTATGAACATCAACACAGAAGGTGAGAGGCTACATTGGGAATTGAAAAGATTAGTTTTCTAGCATTTTATGACTGTAACTGAAGCAGGTTTGTTATATTTGACACAATAACAGAAAAACATGTTTTTAGAATTCTTGGACTGAATGGAGTTTCTATCAAAAAGGGAGCCAAAAATGGAAGGGTGGTATGTGGCAGATGAAATCCAGATTTGATTCGTAGCAACCACTATAGCTTCAGCAATGCAGAGCAGTCCAAGCAATAGGAGTTGGATGGATGGCCAGTCAGGCAAGCAAGCAGCGTGTGAAAGTTCTTTGACAGTTT